GATGGAGGTGACGACCTGGTAAGACATGCAGGAAGTCGATGGATGCAGGTGGCTCAGGACCGTGCCTTGTGGCATTACTTGGGGGAGGCCTATGTTCAGCAGTGGACTTGTGAATAGGCTGTAATGATGATGATAATGACTTAATCGTACAGCGGCGGTGTAAAAATATCCACTACCCCATATTGTCCCGTGGGTGTCGGAAAAGGTGACAGAGGGAAACAAACCATGAGATGGTAGCAGCATTATATATATAAACAGATGGAGCTAAAGAAGTTTTACTTCAATCGTGTCATAAGCACACTCGTTTTTTTTTCTTTGTTGTTTCTTTTATAAAGTAAAAGCAGATAAAAGTTTAGTATGGAGTGTGTTATACGTGGTAGAGCCATGCTGCAGTTATATTAATAGTATAGTTGTAGCACGAATGGATTGACTCGATCGGGGAAGGACCACCCCCGCTCTCACGGAATACCAGCGTCAAATAGTAGCGTAATGCTGCTGTGTTTCGTATAGTGAGTATAGTGAACCGGAGACCCTTTTTACTGGAAATAAGGCATTCCATCTAAGCCCTCACGGATGACAACGCATCTGCATTTTGATTTATTATCGAGGATAGATGTAGATGTCTATGGGCCACAGTAACCACTTACCATCAGGTGGACTGTGTGCTCGTTTGTCACTTATCCTATAAAAAAACCCTTTGAAAATTCGAAGAAGTAAGAAATATGGAAAAAATCAAAACACATTTTTTTGTAAATGAGTGTAATAATTTAGATACGCACGCATTCATAATTTAAAATGAAGATATTATGTTCTTGATGTGAATGGAGCAATATTAACAGGGTATTATATTTATTACAATCCAATTTGAACTACGTTAAAAATCCCGTGTGTGTGAACGTGTGAAAGTGTAATATTTTTATTACCGGATAAAACATCGAGTGTTAAAAATAAGTCGATAAAATTCGTAATAGTGAGATCGTGTTATTCAATTTTTATTACTGATTCCGTTTTATGTTAAGCTTTAACGTCTTACGCAATGATTCGTTAGACTTTTGACAGCGGGTGTGATCTAGGTTGAACTATTTAGTTTGGTACAACTATTAATGTAATAATAAAATACGCGTAATAATAGAAATTATTACGCGCTCTCGTACTTCGAAGATTGGACTAAGTCTTATGGTAAACATATTCCTCTGAATTATCTTCTCTTAATAAGCAGCAGAAGGTACTTCTTCAGTTTCTTTTTAATAGTTTTCTTTCCAAAAAGCTGCATTCCTGGTTGTGTTTGGGCGTTCTTCTGGATTATTTCATGTTAGTGCTGTTAGCCTTTTGGCTTTTGCAGCTTTATCAGGGTTCGCGGCCTAGAGCTGCAAAAAGGAGGATGGAGTGATTGGGATGAACATATGTGCCCGTTGGCACTTTCGTGTCCACCTGTGAGAATTTTATTTTACACAGATGAATGAGCCCCGGCTCTGATGGCTAACTCGTATCTTTCGATGTTCTGGTTGGTGTGCGGCGCGCCCGTCTGCGGACTTGCTGCATCCCATCCGTTGTCCTATCGGTGTTTGTAACACTAAGTGAGTGTGCAGTGTGGGCGCTTAACTGGCTGGCAACATTTAGGTAATCGGAGTCTAGCGGACCCAGGAGTTCAATCAAAACTTTACGGAGTCACTGGAGCAAAAAAGTTACCTTCTACCTACTTTCATTATTTAAATTCCGCTAGAGTTACAAGAAATTAACCGTATATAAAAACTGTTTAAAAGTAACCTTAAATCAAATTACTTGTAAAATCAATTATTATATATTTTGGTACTAATAGAATGTTGTAACTGAATTATAATACATAGCTTTTTTAGCTTAAAGTATTGTACCGTAGTGTAACATAAATTTGCTTAATAAATTTAAAAACAAACTCAGAAATCATCAGAAGTTGGCAATCCTTGTGTAGATCGGAGTTTCGGTGGTACCACCGTCGCTTCGGTGGCCTTCCGAATGAAGCTATTTTGAACTACTTGGAGGCCGTACAAACTAATTTTGGGCGCGTACGCAAAGGCTGCGTTTGCGTATGACATGATAGGTCTTATGTAAGTCTTATAAAGATGGATCTCGTGTCTTAGGTACAGTTTTCTCTTGCTGTTAATTAGCGGCTCTTTTAAATTCCTATAACGCCTGACTCTTTTGAGGCATTCAGGTTCATCCTGGAAGGAACAGCTTAACGGAAGAGCTTTGAAAATGCCTAGTACCCTGTTGTTAATGCCGTCAGGGTTTGGTACTGATTTCTTTTGTGTTCGGGCCTGAAGAGTTAGAAAGCCAGTTAATTACAGCCTAAGGTATTTCATCCTAGTCCTCAAGCGGGACGTCGTATCTATAGATTTTTGTTTGAAGATGATTGCAGGTGTCCATGGGCTGCACTTTGGATACTCTAATATTTTAAGATACAAATTAAAGTTTAATCCAGTTAAGACATTTTTTTTAGAAAATAAGTAACAAAAGTCATAATCCCATAAGTTAGTTTACAAATTGTAAACTAAAATAACAAAATGCAGTCCCGTTGTCCCACAGAAAAATATTATCTTACGAGTATCTTGGGTATATTTAGATATTGGATCGTTAAAAAAATTTCCACGAATTTAATAGAAAAAGAAAACTGGAGCCCTGTTAATGTCACGGATGTCTTATGAGATGATGGAGGCCCTGAAATTTGGAAATTTCATGAAGAATGTTTATCTAAAACCAAATATTGAATTAAAAAATAAATAAAATAATTTTTCAGTGACTCATTAATGAAAAATGATTAAAAAAATGACACTAGCGTGTTGGGTTTAATTGACAAGACATTATTGAGTGAAGTACATAAATATTGTATAAATTTAAAAAAAACTTGGAGGCTGTCAAAATCCAGCAACGCATCTGCAATTCCTCTGATTTTGCGCTTGTTCGTGGGAGGCGGTAATCACTTACCATCAGGTGAGCCGTACGCGCGTTTGCCCCCTCTCCTATCACAAGAAACGTTGTCAGTTGTAAGGAAACGATTTATTTACAATGTAACAAGGGTTGCCGTTTATTGGCGTAATAGAATATACTAACACATATCATCCGTGGATGTCGCAAGAGGCGACAGATATAAATAAAACAGCTGAAAATAATTAAAAAAACTGCGGTTGCTGACCCTCTCTATGAAGTGTGAAGTGTAAATATCCGGCCGGAGGATGTTTTAAAAACAATAATTCGTTAATTCAAACATGTTTAATAGCTAACAGAGCTCACTTAAAACTAACTTAAAATTCTATGCTTAAACAATTTTATGAGAGCCCACGCAGGAAGTCAGCAGTTTCCGTACGTGTACAGTGTCCACTCAGCATCTACCTGTGGTGGACTCAGCGTCTACCTGAATGCAGCATTTAGAACATTCTGCTGACGCGGGCATCTTGGTAGGTTTCACTATCCATAAAAATCTAGTGTCTCTAATCTTTCAGTCTTACGTTCAAATGAGCTGTCATTAAATGCAATGAATGAACGTATAACAATTAGTTGTTTTCGATAAACATTCATTACACGCTTGATCCGTATGTAACTGTGAATGTAATTTAATTTTGTAGTACAGTTTTAACAAACTTCCACACATCTGAATAAAATGAAATTTTACGAACGTATTAAAACCGATAACAAATTCTATGACTGTGACCCAATAATGTATCTAAGACTATCAAAGCTCTTTATGAAGGAATGTTTTAACACACATGTTTTTTTTTTTGTTTTGATAGACAAAAACTTAGCTGAAAAATGTGTTAAAAGGGCGAAAAAAGTGATGAAACTACTAATACTGATTTGGAATTAAAATAATCTAGTAAGCTTTAAACAATACTATATTTAAATGTATTCTATTGATTTGTTTAACAAAAACCGGAATCATAGTCTATTATCTTATATTATCTTATTTAAGTGTATATCTAACAGTAACAACAATAAATCATCGGAAGAGTTCCATGTTTAGCAACGTTATAATAATTACGATAATGATGATGAATATGGAAATAAAATCTGTCAACTAATTACTTCATATTAAAATAATTATTCTTCTAATTTAACCCCTGGGAATGAGGTCATTACTACCATGCTTTTTCTAAATGTTGGCATGTGTTGGGTATTTTTTTTTTCTTAAGACCTGCAGGGCTTTTCTCTGGTTCTTTCAAAGACCGAGGTTTTCTCCGAACCAGTGGTAAAGCTTAAACTTTCAGTAAATATTCTTATAATTATTGAATAAAAATGATTCTGTTTTATTCTCTTAAAATGGTCATAAAATTTCATTTTATCGTTAAAATTCATTTATTTTAAAGCACATAAAGCTTCTATTATAATAGTATTTTATCAACTAGCTCTTAAAGTCATTAAAATCTCATAAATATTCACATTATGTATTGCGTTCAAACATGAGCTACATGCAACAAATAAAAGAAAATATTAATATAATATTATATTATAATGTCTCAATATAAAATATAACGCATCTTAAATATGTAGATTTGCGTAGATTGTTCATTGTTTTGTTAATATATTAAAATTTTCATTAATTCATTCAAAGCAGCCTAAAAAAGCCATTGCTGAACATTTTTTGCCCTGAAAGACTGCTACATTGGGAAAGATTTTGCCATAGTTGCCATGCTTTGCAGGCGGGCTGCCAGCCGTAGTTTTTAATAAATTTAAGTTGTTATCAGGAAAATGCTGCTACCCATTTCCTGTTTCGGTTTACCTCTGTCACCTCTTACGACACCCACGGGACGATTTGAAGTATTGGATATTCTTACACCGACACTACACTGTGAATAATAAAATATCATTAACTCGTACTCTGAAAACCCTCTTTAGGTTATCATTTTCACAATTTTTTGTTATATTTTGTTGTTCAAAAGTTTTCTAATCGTTAGAACTTGGATAAAAAATTACATTTATGTAGTTTTAACTTAAAGGGTATTTATGTCGAAGAGTTATAAATTACTTACTTTACAAAAACCTATAGTGTAATTGTAAATAAATTACATTTATTTCATTCACCAAAAACACTAAAAGAGTCATCGCAAAGCACTAAAATTTAGTAGGTATAGCTTCCATTTTTAAAATTTATTGTTGTTTAAATATAGAATATTTCTTATGCGCGATCAAAACCAGCGGGCAATTGAACGCCATTCGGACGGCGTGTTACGCCTAAGCCGCTCTCATTGTGACTGGGTAACGTAACGCTAGCCTCTCAATTGGAGCGTCCGCCTAAAACAAAACAAGCACTCCGTTTCGAAAAGCTACCTTGTATGCTAGGGCTTATTCGCTCGAAGGGTGTGATGACTATCACTACTTCTTAACAAACTAACTTACTTAATTTTCAACTGATGCTCGGCCGCGTTGAATGATGTAGGTATCAGTCTTATTACAACACGACTCACGTCTGCATGTGAAGTTCGGAGACCAAAAGCTCTTAATTGTATTTTCATGGGTGTTACTAAGTTAATAGACAAGTTAATAAGTCTAATAGATAGCTTAAATTTAATCAGTCTTCTACATAACGTAAAGGAAAGTCTTTGTCACGAAAGAAATTTTGAGATTTGATGCATCTTGAGAAGAGTTTCTGATTTATTGTCAAACTCAATATTTTACATTTTAGTTCGTAAATATTACACAAGACTTTAATTCAAAGACTTAAGTATAAATCTGAGACTAGTAGGTACAAACTACTTTTTGTATTAAAACGGATATTAGAATTACTGACTTATATTTGTGTATACAATAAAAGTGGAAAAAATAATAATGTTACTGTCATAAAAACAACTAATTACATGATAAAAGTTACGAAACTATATGGAAATTAAATACGTGCGAAATTATTGATTCGGCCAAAGCAAATCAATGTAACGAATTGCCGACTATTGTCGACTTTTCATTTAAAATTTAAAAACTCTTTTAGTACGAGTTAAAAATTCTAAATATTAACATAAATGGAAATCTACAAACAATATATTAACTAGCAAACCGTGCGGCTTTTTACGATTATTTTCTAATTATTTATCATCCATCAGCCTACTGCGTGTTTCACACATCCGACAGTAAGAGCAGGATCTAGGAACATCGCGTTTATCAGTGCGAGGCTCAAGAAAGACTACCCCTTGACATGTGGCATCACCATTTTTCCTACTTGATATATATAACCACAAACAAAATTTCAAAAATTTTCCTTAATTACTGGCAGCTCTAAATTAATCACAATGCTGTGTAGCTTGCTCTTTCTTCAGACCACTCTTGAAAGCACTTTTTCCTCTTTCTTCACGCCACTCCCTTTGTAGAAAGTATTGCCATAGTAACCGCTTGGCAGAAGATTCGCAATATAGTTCTTGCACCTTGGACTCTGCGCCCCGTCACGGGTCAGCGTATTTCACGTTTGTTATAAAAAAGATAGAATTAGCGCTATCTCTCCAGAGCCATTAGATACACGTATGTCTGGCATTTTTCGTAGTCGCCTTTTACGACACCCATTATACGAAATAGAGCAGTAGATTATTCTATGCCTTCACCTCACGGTATCGTAGGTTCGTAGGTACAGCACATTTATCATTATAAAATATTATATTGTAATTTTGTGTACAAATGTAGCACATTAAAATATTAATTTGAATGCTAATGTATGATGATTAGGCTTAGATTATTATTTTTGACAGCAGCATTGTCACCTCTAAGTACCAAGATCAAACGCTTCACATATAAAAATCATAATTAATGTTAATGTTACTCTTCAAACCGGAAGAAGCACAGCAAAACACAGCAGTGAGTGCAATCACATGAGTAAAATGGCGCACTGCTGATTGCGGCAGAAATCGGTAACGGTGTAGTTAACCACCCCTACGAACTTCTAGGCGGCTTCCGATATATAGCGTTATATCTATTTCAATTGCGTCAGACGTAGATATGGATAGACCGGCGATGAGAAGCAATATCAAATTACGAAACATCTATTACTGCCAACGTCATCTGCTACCCAAGTGTTGTGCTTAAGGCACTCTTTTCTACGGAGCTGATGAAGAATAAAGAATAGAGTGTTTTGAATAACACAGTATATTTAATAAATCGTTTATGAAAATGTAATCAATCCTTCCTTCCATTTCCTTACAGTCTATAAAAGTCGAGCACGTGTTATAGCCATGTTGCAGCTATATAGCTATATTAGTTATATAGTTGTGGTATGAATGGATCGGCTTGACTGGGGTAGGACCACAATTTAACAAAATACTAGCGTAAAATAGCAGCTTAACGCTGCTGTGTTTCGTATAGTGAGTGTAGAGTACCGGAGACCCTTTTCACTGGAAATGAGGCATTCCATCTTTGTCTCCACTGGTGACAGTGCATCTGCTTTTTAATTCGTAATCGAGCATAGATGTAGATGTCTTTTGGCCACAGTAACTACTTACCATCTGGTGGACTGTGTGAAATAGGTAAGAGTAAGGCACTTACCCAGACGGACTTCTAGGTAGAAAAGGATTCCTACTGGTTGCGCGGAAAACCAGTACCCTCGCATTTTGTTTAGTTCGTTATTAGTCAAGGGAGGAAGCTAGAGTGTAGCGCCATCTGGCGGCCAATAAGAAACACGCCCCGCCCATAATGCAATTTGTTATCGCGCACTGCTCTTGGAATGCAGTCACAATACAAACGTCCTCGTCCTCGAGGCCGCTGAAGCAGTAAGAAGATCACCCCGGGTAGTGCTTCCCTTTTAATTCATCTTGAGCTGTTCGTTTTCTCCTTAATGTGTCCTTTTTTCTAACAGCTCAAATTTAATTCCTGTGTAAAGGCACCGGCTAGATATAATAGATTAGGTAATAGCGAGTGCATTGCCCAAGCCTGCTACGGGTCACATCAGCCATTGATTGATTTTTTTATATGGGAATCACGCATATACAGTCCACATAGTTAATCTGTCGTAATTGATTTACTCGACCCGGGAATCGGACCCGAGACCTTACCACTGCACCATTTTGTGATTCCTTCTCTCCGGATACGAAGGGCGACCTAGTCACCCCTAACAATTTAGTGACCAACCGTTTCCTAGGAACCATTAGCGCACCATTTCCTGGTCATTCGCCCCGGATTTTAAATTAGCACTTTTATAGCTCCACCACCTACTATTTTAAAATTTGTAAGTTCATTCATCTATTGATAAAACACCTTTTTCTTGAAAATAATTTAAATCTATTTTGTCAACACTCACAGAATGTAACTATCAATTCTTGGAAAACAATAAATATGGATATGCGTTACCACCGCTATTAACTCTCTCAGAAATGTAAGGCGGTTTGTGCCCAGACGTGTGGCTTACTCTTATATAGGCTATAAGTTATAACTCTACGTGTAAGCTGGGGTATTTAAGAAGTTATAAATTGTAAATTGAAAAAATGCCAATTTGGATGGTGATTAAAATGCTGTAATTATGAAGTCAAAAATATGTTATTGTTTTGCAAACATCTACAAAGTATACGAGTATTTATTGCTACATCATCATGCTATAAATTTATGAGCTATACGAGTACAGAAATGTACAATTCATGAAATACCTTTTTTAGTGGTCTGAGTGAAATACGATCATAGCTAAATATTTTAGTTGTTATCCAATCGAAGGTTAAAAGATTATTTATTCTACGTAATTTTTGTTTATTTTAGAACTTTGAGCTCTGATCTCTCTGATCTGAGCATATGACTAATTTTTATAGTTTGTAGGCATAGTTCAGAGTTTGAATCCTGACACAATTAATGATATTAATGTATTTAACAAGTGTTCTGAAACGTCGAGTCTGAGAAATTAAAAATATATCAAGGATATAATGTTATATTATGTGAAATCCACCAACTAGCATCGAATTAGTACTTTATTATTACATAAGTCCGTGACGTCAAATGAACAACATCTCAACGCTTGTGTTCTCGAAAAAAATATTCAAATTCTTAGTTTAATTACATTAAAAGTGCCAATAAATTCATAGCTTTGAAGTTAAGTGTTTATTTGTGGCTGTGTATAGTGTACCTGTCGATATAATTAGTGGAAATTACTTCAAATTCTAACAATAACAGTTCAGTTCATAAACGATCATTCAAATTTAAATTACGTTCAAGGTGTCGACAAAAACGCGTAAGCGACGCTAATTGCACGGCGCTAACGACCTTTTTGTCACAACATCCTACCTTAGATGCGGCCTGTGAGCGGGCTTGACTAACGGCTTGCAACAAAATAATATTGCATACTGGAGCTTAACTTCTCTGCTTTTGGGTGACTTTTGCTTGGCTTGTCTTGCATTCAGTTTAAATAAAATGCCTCCAAAAGCGAAATACTGTGCGGGCTGTTCGAAAAAAATCACAAACCGCGAATTTTTGTCTTGCTGCTTATGCAATGATACCTATGATATTGAATGCGACTAAATTACTCGTACAAGTTATTTTGCCTTATGGATAAGGAAAAGAAAGACAATTGGAAATGCCCAACGTGCAAAAGTAAACAAAGGAAGTTCGACAATACTAACACCCCTGTACAAAGCTGTCGTATGGATTCGCTTTCATCTGCGTCTGATCGGATAACCGAAGACTCAGAGGAATGTAATTTAACTCAACGCAAACCGCTAATCCCAGAGAAACAACCATTATCTCCTGGTTCTTCTTCTATCATGGACGATAAGGTTTTAGTCAATATTATACGTCGAGAAATACAGCAGTCTGTGACGGAGGCTGTTGAATCAGCCGTCAAGATGTATTTTTCTAAGGAGTTCGATGAAATTAAAAGCGAATTGGCTACCTTACGAGAAATCGGCAAAAGTGTGGAATTTCTTAGCTCTCAATATGACCGGATGAATTCTGACATAAAAAATTTACAGGATCGACTTACCGTGGTTACTAAAGAGAATTTAACGCTATCCAGTCAAGTATTAGATATCTCAGATATACTTAACTTAATGGAACAACACTCTCGCTAAACGAACATTGAGATCAACGGCGTTTCGGAAAATAAGTCCGAAAATTTGCTGTCCTTAGCGAAACAACTTTGCTCTACTATTTCCGTCCCTTTGATGGACGCTGAAGTACTATCGGGCACTAGAGTAAGAAAAATGAATGACAACAATGATCGTCCCCGTTCCATCATAATTAAGTTGCAGTCCACAATAAAACGTGACGCAATATTGGCTGCGGTTTCCAGTTTTAATAAGAAAAACACGACAGATAAACTTAATTCTTCTCATTTGGGATATGGTGGGAATAAATCACCCGTATATGTTTCTGAACATTTATCCCCTCAGAACAAAAAACTACATGCTAGCACCAGAAACATTGCACGTGAAAAGGGTTATAAATATGTTTGGATCCGTAATGGTCGTATTTTTGTGCGAAAAGAAGATCATACCCCTGCAAAACAAATTAAATGCCACGACTCTTTGAACAACTTGTAATTACATAATTTGATACGCCA